TGGTCTTTCTGTTGTTGAATGTGTTCTTATACTGTCATCTTCCCATCCCTTCTTCCAATGGGTGCAGGTGGGGGTCTCTCCCTCTCCTCTTGTATCCTATTGAGTGTAGGTGGGCCAAGACTTAGATGTCAGCAACTCTGGATGTTCCAACCTCTCCTGGTGTTCTCCTCATACAGGTGGCACCAGTGGAAGCACAGAGGAGTGGGTTCTGGGTTTGTTTTGAAGCTGAGCATTTGACAAGGGACTGGGTGTAGGCTATGAAAGGGAGACATTAAGGGATTAAAAAACTGGTTGGGGTTGATTTAAAAAAAAACATGTAGTTCTATTCCTGGAATCAAAGAAAGCTCTCTGGAGCGATCTGCTGAGTTATGATTGAGTTGTTTGAAAATGCTAGCTGGACAAGCAGTGATTGTGTGCTGCTTCAGCTTGAGTTCCCTCTGAGAACTGCTTCTCCTTGAGCCTTACAGTGCTCACTCCCTTGGGTCTGAGGCTGCAGATTTGTGACTGAGGTTTGCAAGTGCATAAATGACGTTACATTCACAAAACAGAATGCTGCTCAACATACCCATTCATCCCCAGTGCTTCAGCACAATGTCTTACACAGCAGATGCTCAACAAATATTTTCAAGTAATTGAAAAGACTAGGATAGTTCAGATTCTCAAAACCACCAAGGGTGCTATCCAGAATATCCAGACTAGATTGAGCTATAACCTGGTGAGTGAGGGGGGCTCATTACGTAGCTTCCTCTGTGCCATTAGTCAATGAAATCTTGAAGGAATTGGCTGTGCAGCTGTGAAATGCCTCCATGCTCCCCATATCTGCTTCTTATTCTTCTAAGTGTTATTATACAATTTTATATGTTCGCTGTAGGACTTACTAAGTGTATTTTGGTGATTTTCATAACATGAAATTATGTTTGATTCTTGACTTTTCTTTTACACTATATGTCATTCTTTATAACCTTAAATGTGAAAGTTACCATTAACAGCTTATTATCTCAAATATTTACAATTCTATAAAATGTTTCTCATGGAAACAGGGTCTGATGAGGTTATCTTTCACTGGCAAATTCTAGATCAGTTGAAGACTTACTACTTCCCCCAATCTACTCTTTAGTTAAAACAACAAACAAACAAACAAAAAACCCAAACCAAAACAACAGCAACAACAACCCCCACAAATTGTATCAATTTGAAGTTAACAAACTGTGTGTTCCATAAATGATGCTGAGGAGAACTCAGTGTGTCTGGGATTTGTTATGTTATGTAAATTAAAAAAATCATTCGTTTTTGTTTTGTTGTTTTTTAATTCTTTGCTTGGTGTGTGTGTGTGTGTGTGTGTGTGTTTTGAGACATGGTCTCTCTTTGTAGCCCTGCCCCACCTAGAACATACTATGTAGAACATACTGGCCTTGAATTCAGAAATCAGCCCCCAAGTGCTGAGGTTAAAGATGTGGACCACTGCATCCAGGCCCCAGATTTATTGTTTCCCCCTTTATAAGTTTATATAATGAATTTTGGTCATTTTCACCCCATTTCTCCCCTGTAATTTTCTTTCCTCTCCCACTGAAACCCATCCTTCCAGCAGAGAGAGTCCTTTTGATTCTTTATGTACCATGCTGAGTTTTCAATTAGAGTTTCTTGCTCAGGCATGGCTAGGAGTCCTTACTGAAGCAAGGGCAACCTACCAGTGGCTACACCACTGAAGAAAATGACCCCTCATTCCTGCAGCAACATTTAACTGCCATTAGTCCCTCAAAGAGGGGTGGGATTTCACACAGCCCCCCACCTCAGATCAGTGATGAAATGACATTAGGCCCAGTCTTGTGCAGATAGCCACAGTAAAGTGAATTCAGGAGTGCACTGGCCTTGTCATATTCAGAAAACGTGCTTCCTACCAGGTTTTTCATCAGATTCTGTAGTGATTTGCCAGCTCATTTACTACATTGATTTATCTCTCAAACTCCATAAAAGAGTGAGACAATTAATACTACTTTGTACTTTCATATATACGTTGAATTCCTAAGGTTATAATAAATTTGTATCTGTTAAAAATGCTTGTGTTTTAAACAAAAATTTAAAAGTCCCACAAAGGGCTATCTTGTACCCATTCTGCCCTAAGTACATTCCACATATGAAACGTATGCTAAAGATGATGTGAGTAAATTAATAGTTTGAGATATGGCCCAGGCAAATAAACTCAGATCCTGTGATGAAATATGATAAAGAATACTTGATAGACAAACAGGTGGAAATTAAACACTTTTAACTAATTTTCACCAAATGCCTCACTGCATGATTTTTAAAAATCAACTTTATGTCTACAATTGTACTACTCACTAAATTGTTTGATACAATGAAAAGAACTACGCATTTAAACACATATTTCTTGAAAAGCTGCAATGTCAGGAAGAAGTAGGTACTGTGAGAGTTTACTTCATAAAGAACATCACAAGCAAAGTGGCATGGGACTGGGGGAGATGGACCCACAGCTGCTTTGGTCTGCCCTCCCCTCAGCATCATGCTAGGTACTCATGCGTCCCACATTCCAACCTGAGTCCTGGCCAAGTGCCTGTGCCTGTGTTGACAGGACACAGACCTCTTTAGTGTTTAAGACTGATAAGCAAAGCATTACCCTATTGTCATAAGAAGTGGATTGTGTTGGCCAATTTCTTACTTAGTTTACAAATCTGGATCATAAAAACTAATGGAGACTCATTGATTTTTTATTATTTTTTGCTGAACATAAATTGGAAAGTGTCACCTTAAAACTTCCTGAATTTTGAGAGATTGAGCATTCTGTGGGGCTGGGGGGGGTGAGAAACTATTTAAAGAAAAAAAAAGAAACAAATGAGCCAACTTGCTTCAATTTGAATGATATCACTCCATAGAGACAAAGGGAAAATGCAAACAATTTAAAAACTGCAGATAGATCCATGTCTATTGTCAAAAGACTCACTGTAACCTTTTCAGTTATTTTCTTTCTCTTTGGCCTTATTGTGATCCTTCTCAGTCTCTAAAAATCTTTATAATGTATATAAGTGACAAAGATCTTAGGTGGGTTTCAGAACCCTGGAATTGGCTGGTTTTGATTCACCCTTGTTGTAAGATACAAGGTTTTCCTTCTATTCCAACATGAACTCACTGCTCAGTAAGCCACAGTAAGAGGTGTCAGTATATCACCCTTCATAGACAAACAACCTATGTATGAGTATCACCAGCTCTTCCTTGGCAGCTACATCTACAGTGTATACAATGAAAATCATTCTACTGGCTTCACAGGAATGGTACAAGAATCCCTTGATATGCTAATATGGAAAGGGGAAAACTAATGGGTGCTTCTTTATTTATTTATTTATTTTTAAGTTTAAATTTAGATTAGAAACAAGGTTGCTTCACAAGTCAGTTCCAGGTCCCTCTCCCTTTCCCTCCCTTCCTCCTGTGCCCTCCCCCAACCCCCCCATTATCCCCTCATTTCCCCAGGGAGGGTGAGGCCCTCCATGGGAGTGACCATAGTCTGTCATTTCATCCAGGGCAGGGCCTAGACCCTCCCCCAAGAGTTCAGGGTGAGAGTGCATTTCACATTGTTGGATGGGAGTCAGCCCAGTCTTAATGGGTGCTTCTTATGTCCAGGAGCACTATTTAGTTCTGTAGCCTACTTTTTAATTGGATCCTTTGGTGTTTTGGAAACTTGCTTCTTGAGTTCTTTGCAAATTTTGGAGATCAGCCCTCTGTCAGATGTGGGGTTAGTGAATATCCTTTCCCAATCTGTGAGTTGCTTTTTTGTCTTGCTGACTGTGACCTTTGCCTTACAGAAGCTTCTGTTTCAGGAGGTCCCATTTATTAATTGTCGATCTCAGTGTCTATGTTACTGGAGTTATGTTCAGGAAGTGGCCTCCTGTACCAATTCGTTCAAGGGTACCTCCCACTTTCTCTTCTAACAGGTTCAGTGTAGCTAGATTTATTTTGATTTATGGTGATAGACATGGATCTATCCGCATTCTTCTATATGCCAGCATCCACTTATGCCAGCACCATTTGTTGAAGATGCTTTCTTTTTTCTATTGTATAATTTTAGCTTCTTTGCCAAAGATCAGGTGTTCATACATGTATGGGTTAATATCGGGGTGTTCAATTTGATTCCATTGGTCTATCTGTCTATTTTAGTGCCAATATGAAGCTATTTTAAGGACTATAGCTCTGTAATAGAGCTTGAAGTCAGGAATGGTGATGCCTCTGGACATTGCTTTGTTGAATAGGGTTGTTTTGACTGTCGTGGGTCTTTTGTTTTTCCATATAAAGTTGAGAATTGTTCTTTCAAGGTCAATGTTGTTAGATATGATTGCCTCCAGGATAAAGTCATTTCAACTTTTAAAGAAATTGTATCTAAGATCCAAGCACTCCTCCATCTCCAGCACTACCAGCCTGACCCATGATGCTGCTGTCTCTCATGTCTTGGTTGAGTGCAAGAGGCTCTTGAGTGGTCTCTAGCTTTCTGATACCATCCATTTCCCCAACTGCCCTTGCCTTTCCTTCATGCAGAGCCTCTTAACAACTTATTCTCTCAAATTCAATGGTGGAAATTTCTTCTTGATCTGATCTTCTGTTCATGTTGTGTCATTATCCTACCCTTTTACTTAGCAAAAGAGCAGGGTTTTTCTCCATCTGATTTCCTGTTTACTTTGTGACATCACTCCATTTCCCTGCTCTTTGCTCCAGTGGGGGAAGAGGATTTTTCTCCATTTCATCTCCCATTTGCTGTGTGACCTCATCCCTTCCTACTCTTTTTCTTCACTCGAGCATACCAGTTAAGTCAAACTCCATTCTAGTCAAAGTATTTGCACTCACTCTTTCAGAAAAGTGCACTTCCCCACATGATGACATCATTTCCTCAGTCCCTTTGAATATTTACTCAAGTGTCCCTTTGACAGTAAAGCTGTGCCTGGCAACCTTATCCAATCTCACAACAAAGCCTTCTGTTGCTACAGCCTCTTTCTCTTCCTCACTAATTCTTCTTTTTAAAAGTTATTGCCGTTGGTAAATTTATCTGTCATTTGTCTTTGTCCCCTGACTGTCATCATTCACATTCCTTGAAGACAGAAGATTTGCTGTGTGTTTTCTCTGGTAAGCCTCTGACACATAGTTGAACTCAATAAACATTTTCAGAAATATTGTTGATTGAATGAATAAATACAAGAGTAATTAAGTCTCTAATTAACAGTAAATTAAAAATAGTTCTTCCTTAGCCAATTATCATCCTGCCTTCTCCTATACTAGAAATAGGCATTCTTAGCAAGTGCTATGGGGGATTCCAGCATTCCCTGAGATCCCCTGAGGAGTCTAAGACTTGGCATTCTTTAGAAGACTAATTAAACCCCGCTCCCACTCCCAGAGGCAAGCCTGCAGGGTGGTGGTAGTGGAGGAAAATCATTCCTTCCCCATTTTTCAAAGGCAGGTTGCTTTAACTTCCAAATAGCAAGCAATAACACTACATTATAAGACATACTGGTATTAGCACATTGCTACCAATATTTGTCATGATATCTATATCTATCTTTCTATGTGTTGCATTATATGTATTTAGAAATACAACCAAATCTTAAAATATCTTTAGCTTTGTTCTTGGTATATTCTCTACCAATACAAAATAGTCTTCTAATTGTGGTAAAAATTATGCAAAATGATGGGGCATTAGTGATATTTTTCTATTTAAAAATGTATTACATGTTTATTTAGCATGTACATATGGGTATGTGTGCACCATGGCATACATGTGGTGATCAGAGATCAACTTGCAGAAATAAATACTTTCCTTCCACTGTGTGGGTCCCAAGGATTGAAATCAACTTGTTGGGTTTAGAAGTAAGTGTATTTACCTGCTGAGTCATCTTGCTGGCTTAATTTTCAATTCTATAGTGTTATATATGGTTGGATTAAACTTTCAAAGCACGTTCATTATTTTATAAGCAGAAAGACAACATCTACTGTGAAAATAAGATGACTATTAATTTCAGAGTTGTAATCTCTCTACAAAATATAATGATGACAATGACAACCCCCTATAAAACCAGTGTCATAGCACTCAGTGTGATATAACTGGAAAGTTCTGGAACAGGGAAACATGGATGAGTGAAAGCACTACATACCATAGTTGCATCAAAGAAACAAGTTTTTGTTTCTGGTCAGTCTTGCACTCACTGTGACAGAGAAAGACACTGAGAATGAAGCACTCGCAGACTCAGTTACCTCCTTCCCAGGAGCTTTGTCTCAGTAAACAATGCTGGGTATACTGCCTTGTAGCACAAATAATAAAATCCCTGAGACAGGTATTGGGGTTCAAGTTGAAGATCAGAAAAGCAAAGCAACCAGCCACTAGTGAGTTCTCACCTCTACCAATGTTCATATCAAAGGGATTAGCATGTCCTCAGATTGCATCTCCAGACTACTGCACTGCTCCTCAGACTGCCTAGACTGCCCCTGTCTTCTCCCACCTTTTTCTGTCCAGACGTATCACTCCTGTCTCCTCCCTAGTGCTGGGATTAAATGTGTGAGCTCTGTTTCTCTTTTATACTGATTCATTCTCATGTAGCCCAGGGTGGACTTGAACTCACAGAGATCTATCTGCCTCTGTCTCCTGAGTGCTGAGATAAAGATGTGTACTACCACTGCATGGCCTGTATGGCTAACTAGCATGGCTGCTGGGGTTCAAGGTGTGTGCCATCACTGCCTGGCCTCTATGGCTATGGCTAGCTTTGCATTCTGATCTTCAGGCAAGTTTTATTTGATCATAAACAAAATATCACTGCACCACCTCTCCTCTGGACTGCACAAAAGAACTCAGATGTGGGCTTTTACAGGAGAGGCACAATCTTGTTTATTTCCAACCAATCTGTGTTTATTTTGTCAGGTTGGAAGTCACAGCCTCGTTCATGATACCCCCAGGGTTCCCAGCCCTTTTGGCTGTGGTTCTAATTCCATATTAAGTCAGCCTTGGGTGCCTTTAGTACATTTCCATTATCTCTCTTATTCTTTCAGGATTAAGAGATGGATTATCCTGGGAGTTTTTCATATATATCTGCTGAATCAATCCTGTAAAGTACGTTTTCCACCTTCATTTTCAAATCGTAATTAGGAGTCTGTAGGATATACAATATCCATCACAGGAATGAGAGACCACTCTTGATTTTTGAATGTAAGCTAGAAAGTGAAAGAACATGTACACTATGGAATGCATGACCTTTCCATTGAAATAATTTGTATAATACTCGTGAAGACATCAATTTACTTTATACACACATAAAACATTTTAATTCATGTGGAGCACTGATAAAGTATTAGTAATGTATATATTTTGAATAGCCTAACTCTAAGATGTGAAATATGAAACACAATTATTATCAAAGTAAATAAAAGTTACTAACAGATTACTCTGTTTTCTTCTTTAAAGTAAAGAAACTTTGTCATTAATAAAGCTCATTATGCTGATACATTTGTGTCAGTACGCTTCCCAGTGATGACAGTCTTTGACAGTGAGACTAATACTTCTCTATAAGTGGGAGTTCAACATCTGAGCATTCATAGTGAATCAGACAACATGGTGTAATGTGGGATTGTTGGCTTTCTGATGTGTTCCTGGATTCTATAGATGCATAACTTATAAAAGTAAATGAGGGTTTTTTTTAGGAGATGCTGAGTGGAGGCAGAGTTAGGTTAAACAGCGCAGGACAGGTAAGCATTGGCCTTGAGAAGGACAGTTAGGTCCCTGCCATATTCAGAAGTAGAAGAAGACCCAGAAGGATTAAAAGCAGGAAGACCAATGAGGCAGACAGTGCCAGAAGGGTGCTCACTAGTCTTGGGGAGGAAAGGGGGATGATGATTAAGGTTGGACGGTTGGAGAAATGGATCCAGGGAAATGGAGTCTACGAGCACACAGGGGGTTCTGTGTGTAGGCTTATTCTGGACTGGTAAGGTCTCTTGGAAAGACATTAGTGTATTCTGAACTGGTAAGGTCTCTTGGAAAGACATTGGGAGGAGCAGATTTTACAAACTTTTGCTGAAAGCTGAGAGGCACAGTACAGGGAACCTAGCTGCCTTGAGAGGCATATGGTTTTCAGGTTAAAGTCCATGGCTGCTGGGGCACAAGGTGCCTTCCAGTTCCTGAGAGACTGATGCACTCCCTCAGGCAGTGGAGCTGCATTCAGGCAGCTTTGCGTTTCTCTGTACGTTTCCTTAGTAGCCTAGGAAGCATGGAAGCTTGATAGGGCAACTGATCTGTCCTCTGTGTAGCTTGCAAATTTCATTGTATCCTGGCAACTACAGCTGTACTGATCCTAGCAATTGTCATTATATTCTGTTTCTGATAAAGGTATAAAAAGTCTGATTGCTCTCAATAAAATTTTCACAGCCTCAGTCTTGCTGTGGCCACTCCAAGCAACATGATTGAATTTCCCAAGGCCACATCAAGTGACCTTGGCCAGGTAAGTAAGTACAGGCACATACATTTCGGTCTCTTTGGGAGAGCCCTACCCACCAATTAAAAGGTCCCTCAGTATTATCATAGCTGAAATGGAAGCCTGAGAGCAAGGCAGGCAATTTGAGACAAGTGAAGACACATGCAGACATGCAGTCAGGAGAGAGAGAGAGAGAGAGAGAGAGAGAGAGAGAGAGAGAGAGAGAGAGAGAGAGAGAGAGAGAGAGAGAGGTTGAAAGAGATCAGAAGCTGGAAAAATCCAAATCCAAGCCTGGGAATTTTTAAGTCTTTGAAGCCTCCTTTTCCTCTAATTCCTCCTCTCCCTCTAATTTAGGGTTGACCAGTTTGAACAAGGACAGGATGACTGGTTGACTTAGAGCTGTGGTGTCCTGTCCTGATTGGTTGAACCCATTCCTTCAGTCTGCTTGTTGAAGGGTAACCATTGTTACCATTTCAGTGATTGAATTGTAACATGTGTTATTGCTTTTGTGTAGATCTGTTACAAGCCTCAAGATCACACAGTAATTATACAGCTACTGTATCATGAGATAACTCAGAAGAATTAAGGATTCTTCTGATGGATAAACCAATACAAAAGATGTATTTGGCTTATGAGGCGAATTATGGGGGTTCCTCGAGCTCACCATTCCCTCTTCAAGTCCCCTGACCTGTAGCCACCAGACCCTTCCTGCCACAGAATCCACAGAGGGACCTGGAGGCAGAACAAAGCAGTCAGCATCATCAGCTGCCATCCCTGCCTCTCTACCCTCCAGTAGAAAGGAGAGGGAGAGACCCCACCTATACCCACTGGAAGAAGAGATGGGAAAATGATAATATAAGAACACATCCCACAACAGAAAGACTTATATGACACCACCATAGTCTAGGGACTCTACACCAGCAAGACCTGAACATCCTAATGCAGATGAAGCAGAAGAGAATGACCTTAAAAGCAACTTCATGAAAATGATAGAGACCCTCAAAGAGGATGTGAGAAAATTCCTTAAAGAAATGGAAGAAAAAACAACCCAAAATGCAAGAAATTAACATATTTCTTAAAGAAAACAAGGAAAGCCAAGAAAAAACAATAAAACACATTAAGGAAACCATTCAAACAGTTCAAGATATGAAAACTGAAATAGAGACAATAAAGAAAACACAAGCTGAGGGAATGCTGACAAGAGAAAAGCTGGGTAAGCGATCAGAAACTATAGATATAAGCACAACCAACAGAATACAAAAGATGGAAGACAGAATCTCAGGCGCTGAACATAAACTAGAGGAAATAGATTCATCAACCAAAGAAGATCTTAAATCCAACAAATCCTTAACATAAAACATCCAGGAAATATGGGATACAACCTAAGACTAATAGGTATAGAAGAAGGTGAAGAAGCCCAGTGAATGGCTTTATAATCTTGTGAATGAATTGGCTATTTGTTGCTGTAGATTCTTCCTGTAGCTTATTCCTTTCTGCCACAAGCTTGGGATTTCCTTCCCATGGTTTAGCACTATCTGATCATTTACTGGGAACAATTTCTCCCATGCATTTGGAGTTTACTGATTGTATTCCCTAGCTATGTGTGAAACCTGTTCTTCATTAACAGGTCCTAGTTTACTGATTACATTCCTTAGCCATGTTTGAGACTTTTTTCCCCTCCCCATTGTAATTGCAGAGATCTGCCTTCCTGCAATTATCCTTATTGACAGGCATTTGGTCAATGTTTAGGATTCAAGCAAAAGCATCCAATCTAAGACATTCCTAGATAATCAAGGACATAGAATTACTGCATGCCCAAAGTTATTGATTCATAGCTGCCTAGATGGATAGAAAAAAGAAGCATAGTTTACCTCACTGACAGAGAAGTGATAACCTAAACTAACCCTGCACTAAAAGATTCTCAACTTATTAACTCAAGATTTTAGCTCAGAAATTTACTGCTCCCTCCTGTTTCCCCTGAGAAGACAAAGGCAAAAATAATCAGCCCATTTGCTCATCTTCAGGAAACTTTCCTGAAGGCCTGTGCTACGACTGAGGCCAGAGGACTGCAAGGTGCCAGGTTCTAGATACGGGGAGGGCGGTGCAGGGAAGTTTCATAGCCAGTCCCCAAAATGGGCTGTGCAACCTTCTAAAAGGGATGTTTACACAAACTACAGCACACTTTTATGTAAATGCAGAATTGTTTCTCAACAGTTGGGGTGTTGTCTCCTTCAACCCAGTCACAATAGTCGCTCTGCAAAGCCACCATGGAACTGAAGAGGAATAATTTTACCTAGAGCAAAATTAGTACAGTTCTTACCCTTTTAGGCTAGTATCCACACCTGTGATGATCACACAGGAGAAAACTCACAACAGGAAGAAATGCTGAAATCCAGATCTCTTTTCTAGTCTTTGTGATTGTACTTTGTACAGAATCAGAAAACACATCCCAAGAAATAACCTCTGCCTCATAAGAAAAGCAACCACGCATGTACATTTTCTGCTCATGGGACCCACGCACTGTGGAATAATCCTTTTGCACACTGTGAAGATTTGTGGCTTTGATGGGTTTAATAAGATGCTGGGTGGTCCATAGCTAGGCAGGAAGTATAGGCGGGACAACCAAACTAAGATCAATGAGAAGAGCGAGGGCAGAGTCACAGGAGTGGTGAGCCAGATGCAGAGGAAGCAGGACAGGTACAAAATGAGGTAACAAGGCATGAGCCACGTGGTAGGACATAGATAAGAAATATGGGTTCATTTAAGTTGTAAGAGCTAGTTAGTAATAAGCCTGCTCTATCGACCTAACATTTGAGTCTCCATGTCAGTTATTTGGGAACTGGTAGGTGGGAAAGAAAAGTACGCCTTACACTCAAGCTCTTCTTAAAGGCATCTTTATCTGTGTCCTCTGCAGAGGGACTTTGACTTTCTGATATAAAAGTCTCCCTCCTTCCTTGCATCCCTCCCCCCGCACCTGTGTGATAATATGAAGCCCTGAGAAGAGCACACAGTTACCCTCTTTACCCCCCTTAAAGTACTTTCTAGGGTTTTGCCAGCTGCCTTAGTCCTAATGGAGTTTGAGAGTTCAGCAGAGTAATATCAAGGCAGCAGGCTGCTTCGGACTTCCCCTGCCCTGTCCTGCGGTGCTTTCTGCATCCTGTGCAGGCAACTGTCTCTTTATCACATGTGGTCAAGAGAAAAACTACTAGAGATGTTTGAGTCCAGGTCCTGCGGATTGTGGGGAAACTCGCTGTGTTTTCTTAGCCCAGTTTCTACCTTTTAACCAAAGTGTTGTACAGATAAACAGACAAGATGTATAATTAAACTTAACATTGGGCAAACAATGAATATTTTTATACAAGTGTGTATATAATATTTTGTATTTTTATATGTCAAAACTTACTGTTTAACAAATTGAAACTTATTTGAACATCCTATATTTTAGATAGCAATAGAAAGTTCTCAAATTTTTTTTACTAACGTACATACAGTGATTGTCCTTTTGCCTATAGTGTGGCTTTCTTTATTCTTGATTATCAAACCATATAATCTGAAGGAAATATGCAGTTGGTCTTTATGATCATGAACTTATAATAACACAAATCTACACAGTATTACTTTGGCAAAAACTTCTTTCAGCTTCAGGTAGGACAGAAAAGCAAAGATTTTAAACACATTATTTATTAATATAAATTTTTATTTAAATTAGAAGCATCCTTATTTTACACATCATTCCCAGTTCCCTCTCCCTCCCATCCTCCCATGCCCCCACATCCCACCCCCATCCACTTCCCAGGGAGAGTGAGGCCTTCCATGGGGGATCATCAGAGTCTGTCAGGTCATTAGGAGCAGGGCCGAGGCCCTCCCACATGTATCTAGACTGAGAGAGCATCCCTCCACAGGGAATGTCAAACACACACTCAAGGTATTATAAAAATGCACTGCAGACACCAGAGAGGGTGAAGAGTGAGGACGGAGGTAATAAAGGAGAAGATGGAGACTTTATGGACCAAGAGTCCCCAAAGACTGAGGAAAGATGCAGAGGGAGTTTTGAAGCTAGCAAACAGGAGGGAAGAGAAATGCCTGAGTTAATAATTTTAGTATAGAAAGTAGACATGTACTTCAGAGCTTAGCCAGCAGAGCTGAGAAGGAAAAACAAAATGTGATGCTTCACTGTGCATGGGACGCTGAAGCACACAGAAGCCCAAGTGCTTATGCCTGGGTTTGAACTTGCTGCAAAATTACAACACAGACAAAGCCATACAATCTGATGTCAGTCTTCAGTGTGTTCAGACCCAAGCACGTAAAGATCGCATAGAATAGCAAGGATGCACAATAGAGCCCATGTTACAAATTCAAAAGTACAAGATGGGTAGTTAAAGAGGTAGGGAAACCTTAAAGAGATTTCAATCATTTTATAATCGCTTAAAATCATTAACTGCATACTTCCAGGTCCCATTCAGAATTTCTATCAACCCTTTCTCAATTGGTTTTAACACTTCCTGAAACCTGGGTTCTCTACTCTGGCCTCCACCACACACATGCATGAAACCCCCCAACTCCATCTCTGGGGATTGCAACTAGAAAGTAATCCCATATGATGTACATCACGCAGGGTCCACATCAGTCCTGGCACATCCTAGTACAGCATTGCATAGTGGAGCTTCCATGATGTCAGAAATGCTTTCTCTCTACACTTCTGATGTGGTACCAAATCACTCAGAGGTCAATTTTCAGAACTAGAAACTGAAATATAAGATAGTCCCTCATCTTATTTTCACCCATTTTTCCTTGTTCTTTGTTCTGTTTCCTTTGATCTCAAACTCTTCTTTGGGATTCAGAAAGCAATACCCTATCTCTCAATGGTTCTATACCACATTTATCCTTAAGATGCTGTGGACAGGTTTTAGGGTTCATGAACCCCCTGGCATGCACAAAGGATATATACATGTAATGGGGGTTCTGGGTGAAATATCCAAAAAGTTCATCTTTGCTGAAGGAATATGTGGATATGATTAAAAAATGTTAAAAGGACCTTGTCAACAACTGAAATAAAAAGTCCCAGTAAGTCCCAAATATACTAAATTAAATCATCAGAAAAAGAACTTGAAAGATGACCAAGGAATTTAAGGATGGCTTTTCTTTTATCATAGTTCCTGGGGAAATGATAGTGAGTAATTATTGATACTGGGTGAATATTTGTACCGGGAGAATATATAAAATTGATGGGGAGAAACTACACTCAGATAAAGGCTCATGTCTCTTAGTAATCTCTGGCTTTCTGAAGTGAACCACTACTCTATTAGGACTCCACAGTGATGTCTAAAGTTGAACATAGGAGCTCTAGACTGAAGTCTTGACCACGGGACCAGAACCTATGTGCTTTACACCTTGCAAACTATGTCATTATCCTTTGATTGTTTTCCAAAGTGAAAGGTCTCAAGACAAACAAAAACCCATAATTTACATATTTGGGTGATTTTATAGCCCAGTCCACAAGTGAGGAGACTTCAGAAATAAAATGTTATTAATAAATTTAAAGCAGACACCAAAGGAAACAAGTCCTTGGGTGCAGAAAAAAATACATGGCAGTTGTGTTTCCCTCAGTATTAAACCCTCTTGGTATTGACATACAGAAGAGCAGTATGATTCAGAACCCCAAAGTGTAGGGACAAAAGCTGAAAGAAGCTGCCTTGATCTCAGCATCTTTTCTTGGCTCGTCCCCCTGTCAGAACCACAGGCTTCGCAAATGCCTTCCTTCCCGCAACTATGAAAATGTTCTAAGAATTCAGTTCCCATTCTCTGAGGTGCTGAGTCAAGTTTTGCTTTATAAATAATGGAAAATAAATTGAAAGCTTAGACAATTGTTTCTTGATACA